CAGAAGTTTTTCTAGATTTCCAAAAGATTTAGATATCATTATGAGTACTGATTTGTGAATCTGAAACTTGTTCTAAATTATACTTTTTAAAAAGTTCCATCAAGCACGCTAGAAGAAAGATAACTTATTTTTCTTTTCTTTTTGCAGGCAAAGATATTGTGAAACATGCAGCCGAAAAAGTAGGAAACGTCACAGAGGTGTGTCAGGCAGAAAATTAATAAAAACATTACGTTATCCTTTGGGATTTTGCAATGTTTGTGGTATTTGGCTCTTTTAATTTGTTATCATTTCATATTCTAAGTAAACTTTCATTGTCAGTTCTTTTTTAAACTTATTTTTCTTTCTTAAAGAGGTCCCTCCTCCTCCATCCCCGCGCTCAATTCCTTCAGCTGGATCCTTCCAATTCATGACCGATTGGTTTAAAATATGGGTCGTTCAAAAGCTGTGTGATCCCGAGCTAGTGGCTATACCTCTCAGAGCCTGTTTCCTTAGTGGTAAAATGGAAATCATAATAACTTTGAAGTGCTGTTATAAAGTTTAAATAAGCCAAGGCCTGCAAAATGCTTAGTGCAGGTTTGGAATGCACCGAGAGATGACAAATCTCAACCTGTCCTTATGTTGAGACCACTCCCCAGTTTCCGGAGCCTCGGCCACAACCTCCCCTTGCGCATGCACACCCGGCTCTCCCTTCCAGGCCCTCCCCACCACGTGGGCGCGGCCTACCCTTCCGCAGGGGGTAATAGGCGGAGTCAAGGGGCTACTTCCGGGATTCTTTCCCATTTACTTCGGGGAACAACTCTTTCGTAAGACTGGCAGCATCATTAGCCAGTAGTGATTAGAGAAGAGCAAGCCGGTAGGTGCTTCCCCTCAACCCATTTCGGAACACCCCTTCCGAGTTAGCCAATTGCAAGATTTGGAGGGCGGGTTCTCCTCTGGGGCGGGACAGAGTGACCGGCGTCTCTTTTGGCTAATGGAAACTTGGCTGCGGGTAAGCTATGACCAATGAGAAGCAAGAACGCCGGATCCTGGGGCGGGGCTGGAGCTTCGGCAGTTGAACCGCTCGCGAGGAGTGGTGCCCGTGGAGAAGGTGAGAGGCGGCGGGAGTGGCGGGTGCGCGGCTCGCAGCGGAGGTGTTAGCGGGAGGGAAGCGGGGTTCTGTTGGAGGAGAGTGGGCTGCGTTGGGCAGCTGACCCGGCCTTGTGGGAATCGGGAGAAAAGGTGCCCTTTAACAAGGGTAGGCGCTTAACTGAGGGGTTCTGAGGCTGAGCCCAGCATTTAAGTTGAGGGTGATCTGTATTTCGCAGGAGGGTCTTCAGTGGGGGAAGTCGTAAAGCAGGAGGCAGCAGATGGTAAAATATAGAGATGCCCTTGGAATGCAGCGTGGCGATTTAGTAGGTTTTAAGGCAGAGGGTCAGTATAGCGCACTATGATTTACAAGCTTTGATTTGGGTGAAAGTCGTGGGAAGCAGCAATATTGAGGGAGGGAGGGAGACCTCCAGGGATGAGGATGTACTTCAAAGAGATGTGAAGCCCTATTTTGCCTGTGGCGTTTACTAGATGCTGTGCACCTGCCAAGTGTTTTAGGTGAATTAACTCTTAAACTTACCCTACCGATATTTCAGAGTGTGGACTCTGGCGTCGGGTTGAATCCTGAATTTGAATCTCGGCTCTGCCACTGAGCGTTACTGTGGCTTTGGGCGAGTTGTTTATCCTTTTCTGTGCCTCAGCTTAATAATCGGTAGAATGATCTCATCTCTGTCTATACCATTGGCTTGCTTCACCCTGTTTATCTAGTGATAACTCCCAGGTGTGGTTTCCAGCCTGGATCTCTGCCCTGAACTTTAGATCATATCGTGGCCGACTTTTCTGTATTTGGAAGTTCATTTGACATTCAGACATAAACTTGTTCCAAACCAAACTTGCCGTTCTCTCCTTTCAGCCTCCAAACCCAGTTGATGGCACATTCATCCTTCCAAGTACTAAGATCAAGAAGCCTGGAGTGTTCTTCACTCTTCTTTTGACTTATACACGGTCCAGCCATCAGCAGATCACATTAACTCTACCTTCAAAACACATCCAGAGGCCCGGCGCAGTGGCTCACACCTGTAATCCCAGCACTTTGGGAGGCTGAGGCGGGTGGATCACCTGAGGTCGGGAGTTCGAAACCAGTCTGACCAACATGGAGAAACCCTGTCTCTACTAAAAAATACAAAATTAGCTGGGCATGGTGGCGCATGCCTGTAATCCTAGCTACTTGGGAGACTGAGGCAGGAGAATCACTTGAACCTGAGAGACAGAGGTTGCAGTGAGCCAAGATTGTACCATTGTACTCCAGCCTGGGCAACAAGAGCAAAACTCTGTCTCAAAAAAACAAAACAAAACAAACCACATCCAGAATCCAACCACATCTCACCAGCTCCTTTGCTACCACTCTGTCCCAGCTTGTCTCTTGGCTCTTACCTGGTGTGTTGCAGTGGCCTTCTGCGTGGTCTCCCTGCCTCTTGCTGTTAGGGGGATCCTAGTAGAACAGAAATCAGATCAGATTGCTCCTCTGTTCAAACCCTCTCCTGGCTCCCACCTTACTCGGTAAAAGTCTTCACTGTATCCGCAAGGACCCCCAGCTTATTGGGTTCCTCCTCCTCCCTCCAACGTCCATCACCTCTCTCAGTTCCCTTGCTTACTCTGCTGCAGCCACCCTGGCCTCCTCTCTGTTCTTTGAACATGGTGAACACATTGTCACCTCAGGGCCTTTGTGCTCGCTGTCCACTCCTTCGGGATCAGGTCTCCTTAGATGTCTGCGTGGCTTCTCCCGCACCTCTTTCAGGTCTCTGTTCAGATGTCAGCTTCACAGCTGGGCACTTGCTGACTACTCAGGCTAAAAGACCTCCTCTCATGTGGCTCTCACCTGGCCTTTTCTTCATAACACCAATACCTGATACAGATTATTATTATTATTTTTTTTTTTTAGATGGAGTTTTGCTCTTGTTGCCCAGGCTAAAGTGCAATGTTGTGATCTTGGCTCACCTCAACCCCCGCTCCCCAGGTTCATGTAATTCTCCTGCCTCAGCCTCCCGAGTAGCTGGGATTACAGGCATGTGCCACCACGCCTGGGTAATTCTGTATTTCTAGTAGAGACAGGGTTTCTCCATGTTGATCAGGCTGGTCTCTAACTCCCAACCTCAGCTGATCAGTCTGCCTTGGCCTTCCAAAGTGTTGAGGTTAATGTGTGAACCACCGCGGCCGGTCAATATTATTATTTTTATTATTATTATTTTTTGAGATGGAGTCTTGTTCTGTTGCCCCGGCTGGAGTGCAGTGGCATGATCTCAGCTCACTACATCCTGTGCCTCCCGGTTCAAGTGATTCCCCTGTCTCAGCCTCCGAAGTAGCTGGAACTACAAGTGTGTGCCACCATGTCCGGCTAATTTTTGTAATTTTAATAGAGATGGGGTTTCACCATCTTGGCCAGGCCAGTTTCAAACTCCTGACCTCAAGTGATCTGCCCACCTCAGCCTCCCAAAGTGCTGGGATTACAGGCATGAGCCACCACACCTGGCCTTCACTTGGATTACTGTTGGTTTATATCCACTGGGCTTCTTGGACCTCCCCACTAGAGTGTTTGGCTCTATGTGAATATAGAACCCGGCACCTAGAAGAGCACATGGTGCCTACAAAGTGTTGTTTCTCCTATACGGTCCTCACCATCCTTTGGGGTCTCCCTGTGGTGTGGGGCAAGGTTGCTGAGCTGGGAGGGTCTTGTGTCGGGTGTTGGGGTTAGAGATCGGGGAATAAACTGGACAGATTGTGGTGCCCAAGGGTAGAAGGACCGTTTAGTGTCTGAAGGAACCTGGAGGAAATGCAGATTCCGGGGCCCCCCCCAGGGTTTCTGCTTGTGTATGTTTGGGACCCGACCTAGGAAGCTGCATTTTCATAAGCGCTTGTTGTAAGGATTATGTTCCTTGGCCATCACTGTGGGAAACACGGCCAAGCTGGTTCAGACTTTGGGCTGGAAGGAAACAGCTCTCTTATCATCCAGCTGATGCTTTGCCGGGCAGTGCTGTGGTGATTGATACACCTCCTGACCCAACCTGGGAGTCAGGGAGGGCTTCCTGCAGGAGAGGGCATTGGAGCTGAGACTTAATGAGCTAAGGGGAGAAAACCTTAGCTGTATCCCCAATGCCTAGAACCCCATTTCCTGGCATCTCCCATGAAATTCACAAGCAGTCGTGAAGATACAAGATTGATTAAAATGCCTCTGCCCTCATGGACTCATGGTTTGTCAAATAATCAACAGATCACACAGATGGTAACAGGGAGTGCCAGACACTGTTTGAAGCACCTTATATATATTAAATTAATTCCACAACAACCCTATAAGGTAGGGGCTCTTGTCCCACTTTACTGATGGGGGAAAGCCCAGAGAGGGCAAGTGTCTTGCCCAAGGCCACACCAAGGATAAGTGCAGCTGGAATCTGAACCCGGAAGTCCCCAGCCTGCAGCACGTGCCATGCTGAAGCTGTGAGGCCACATTTGGGTCAGTTCTGGGAGGAAACAGGAGGTGGTCAGGGAAGGGCAGCTGGGTGATGGGAAGGAGGACAAATGCTTCTGTCCTTCATCGTGAGATCCTAGACAAGCCTCAGTTTCATCCTCTGCATAATGGGGCTGGTTATAGTACCCACCAGGGAGCAGAATTTGGGGTGAGTCATTCATTGGATTGGTAAATGTGCATGGTCTTTATCTAAGGCAAAATGTCTTTGTTTTATTGTGTGTGTGTGTGTGTGTGTGTGTGTGTGTGTGTTTTGTTTGGTTTTTGAGACAATTTATTGCCCAGGCTGGAGAGCAGTGGCACAATCTTGGCTCACTGTGACCTCCATCTCCCAGGCTCAAGCGATTCTCCTGCCTCAGCCTCCTGGTTAGCTGGGATTATAGGCACCTGCCACCATGCCCGGCTAAGTTTTGTACTTTTGGTAGAGACAGTTTCTCCATGTTGGTCAGGCTGGTCTTGAACTCCCGACCTCAGGTGATCCACCCTCCTTGTCCTCCCAAAGTGCTGGGATTACAGGCATGAGGCACCGTACCTGGCCAGCAAAACATCTTTAAGAGACAATGGGAGAGGGAGTCTGGATCCCCCAGGGGGAACTGGGGTACCACAGTGTGCCCTATAGAGATTGCATTGCTTGGTTCCCCAGAGGGCTTTTGTGTCTCTACATTCCATGGGGACAATGTGGAAGGCTTTGGTCTGTATTCTGGGGCAGTGAAGGGGAGTTCTGTCCAGTCTCAATTCACTCACGTGGTAGGGAGGTGAGGTCAGAATGGGGTCGGGAAAGGGATCATCCCAGTCAGGCAATGAGTGTGAATGTGGGGCTGAGGTCTGCTGCAGGGGAGAGCCCAGCTAGGGGATGGCTGGGCTGGAATATGTGTTGGTGGTGGTGGGAGCTAGAGTGTGGGGAAATAGTCATCCGGTGGGGCTGCCAAGGGTGGTGATTCGCCCATGTCTGGTATGGGAGGTAGTGATGGAGATTTGTCTTTGGGAAGCCCTGGGTGAGAGCTGTGAAATCTGTGGGGAGAGCCATTTGGAGGGTGGAGCCAGGGGCGGTGATGTAACCCTGGAAAGGAAAGGGGTCATCCTGGTGAATGATGAGAGGGAGAGAGCTGGGGGCTGACACACTGAGTGTGAGTGTGCCGGCGCCATGACGTCATGAGGCCCGAGAACTGGGTCAGGTGTGTGGGCCAGGATGAGGCCTTGGGACAGCCGCACGGCGCTCGCAGGGATGGGGTGGTGACGTCACGGATTGGTGAGGGCGGGGCCTCAAAGGCACCGCTGGGCTGCGTGAGGTCAGGAACGAGGCAGAGGCTGAGAAGAACTGGGAGAGGCTCCGGACTGGAATGAAATCGGCCACCAGGATGAGCCACTGGTCACGAAGCAAGGATGCAGGATGCAGGTAGAGGGATAGGGTCAGCGGCGGGAGGGGAGATGGGGCTCAGGGTCTGGGGAATCTTAGAAGTGGTGGTGGTGATGGGGTAAGTGGGGAGGAGGGGTTGCTCAGAGAGGGCTCTCCAAAGGGAAGAGAGGTGCAAAATGTGTGTGCGGGTGGAGTGGGGGTGGGGGGTGTGGGTTTACAAGCAATTTGGGAGGGAACAAAATCCAGGTGAATGGGGGGTGATGGAATGCTGGCTGAAAGTGGGTGTGCGGAGCAGAACCTTGAGCAAATATGCGGGCAGAATGCAGGTGAAATAATGGGGTGCATTGAAGTTGAATAGGCGGGAGCCCCAGGAGAGCGTGAGTGGGTGGTGTAGGGAGGAAAGTGAGGCTGTCTCCCTGCTCCCAAATCTGGGAAAGCGGGATGGTATGAAGGGGCATTGGACGGGAGAGAGGGGGCTGGTTTCTGGGGAATGTAGCACGAGGGTTGGGCTGGAATATATGGAGTGGGAGGTTCTGTAGAGAGGAGGGGAAGAGGAACCTAGAATCTCGTGGTCGTCTGGGGGACCAGTGATGGACAACTGGGGTCCGGGAGGCCGTGTGGCGCTGGCACGGGCGTGGGATTTATTCCATCAGCAGTTACTGAGCGCTTAGGACATGCCTAGAGGAGGGGGTGGGGGAAGGCAGCGGGCGAAGTTTGTGGAGGCGAGAGAGGTGTGAGGGTGCAAGGGGGATTGAGTTGAGGCAGAGTATTCCGGGGCTCAGTGTCTGGGCTAGGGGTGGGGTGAGGGCTAAGCACCAGGCACTGGGACGTCGAAAGGGGCTGCTATTCGCGGGATGGGTACGGGAGGTTTCTGCGGAGCGGTGGGGAAGGGCGATTTGGCGGCGGGGATGTGGTGTGGCGAGCCCCCTTCCTCTGTGTGGTCTCCCAGGAGCTGGGGACCATGAATGGGGGCGGTGAAGCTGTGTGGCTCCTCAGGTGTTCAGTTCTGTGAGTGCCTCCTACGCCTTGGTAACCGGGACGGCGCCGCCGCTGATTGGTTCTGGGAGCCGGAGGGGTGGGGTTGATGGGCGGGGTTTAGGACGCAGTGGGGCGGGGCCAGCGCTGCCGCGCACTGCGCTGGGGTCTGGGGCTGCGGGATATGTCGAAACGTGCGGCGATTTGTTTGTAGTGAGATCGAGATTATTATTATTATTTTTTTTTTTTGAGGCGGAATCTTTCTCTTGTTGCCCAGGCTGGAGTGCAGTGGCACCATCTCAGCTCACTGCAACCTCCGCCTCCCAAGGTTCAAGTGATTCTCTCGCCTCAGCCTCCCAAGTAGCTGGGATTACAGGCGCCCGCCACTACGTCCGGCTAATTTTTGTATTTTTAGTAGAGATGGGGTTTCACCATGTTGGCCAGGCTGGTCTCAAACTCCCGCCTCTACCTCCCAAAGTGCTGGGATTATAGGCGTGAGCCACCGCGCCTGGTCGAGATCGGGATTATTAACCTGGACTTCAGAACCACCAGAGGATGAAAGCACATTGTCAGAGTGTGAATTTTCCAGGGGAAGAGGGTGTCTGATTTCATCAGCCCTTCCAAAGCACCTTGCTCCCAAATAAAGTTAAGAGCTGTGATGTAGAGAGAGGAGGTGTCTGTCAGAGTGTCTAGGGCCCAGGCCATTGCCCTTGGGCCTCTGAGAAAAGTGATCTGTGGATGGGCCTGGGGGTGGTAATTGGGAGCCCCTGAAATGAACTTGCAAAAGGTTGGGGGATCATTCATTTATCTGTCGAAGGCTCAGAGACTTCATTAGATTCTCAAAGGCTCAAGGTTAAAAATTCCTTACCTGGAGTTTCAGGGCTCATCTTTTTGGCTCATAATATTATATTTTCTGGTATTAGACTTTATTTTATTTTATTTTTTGAGACAGAGTCTCTCTTTGTTGCCAGGCTGTAGTGCAGTGGCGCAATCTGGGCTGATTGCAACCTCTGCCTCCTGGCTTCAAGCGATTCTCCTGCCTCAGCCTCCAGATTAGCTGGGATTACAGTGATGGGCCACCACATTTGGCTCATTTTTTTGTATTTTTAGTTGAGACAGGGTTTCATCACCATGTTGGCCAGGCTGGTCTGAAACTCCTGACCTCATGATCAACCCGTCTTTCCTCCCAAAGTGCTGGGATTACAGGCACGAGACACCGTACCTGGCCTACTCTGACTCCCTTTTAAAAGCTTGGCTCATCTTACTCCAACACCTCCTGTCCCTCTTTCCAGCTTGACTTTTCTCCGCAAATGTTTGCTGAATGAATGGATGAATGAATAATAAATATACAATGAATATAAGACTTAATAAATTAATATTAATCATGATTCTTTTGTTGGCAATCATTTATTTCTTTTCTTTCTTTCTTTTTTTTTTTTTTTTTTTGAGACGGGGATTTTCTCTTTTTACCCAGGCTGGAGTGCAATGGCGCGATCTCGGCTCACCGCAACCTCCACCTCCTGGGTTCAGGCAATTCTCCTGCCTCAGCCTCCTGAGTAGCTGGGATTACAGGCACACACCACCATGCCCAGCTAATTTTTTGTATTTTTAGTAGAGACGGGGTTTCACCATGCTGACCAGGATGGTCTCGATCTCTTGACCTTGTGATCCACCCGCCTCGGCCTCCCAAAGTGCTGGGATTACAGGCTTGAGCCACCGCGCCCGGCCTTCTTTCTTTTTAAAATTGAGTCAGAGTCTCACTTTGTCACCCAGCCTGCAGTGCAGTGGCAAGATTACAGCTTAATGCAGCCTCCGCCTCCAGCCTCCCAAGTAGCTGGAACTACAGGTGCGCACTACCACACCTGGCAATTTTTTTGTATTTTTAGTAGAGAGAGGGTTTCACCACGTTGCCCAGGCTGGCCTTGAACTCCTAAGCTCAAGTGATCCTCCTGCCTCAGCCTCCCAAAGTGCCGGGATAACAGGTGTGAGCCACTGTGCACGGCCCAGCAATCATGTATTCCTAGTATCCAGCATATGTTGGACACAGCAGCCTGCAGGTCACAGTACCAAGTGCTTTTATGCATATTGCCCATTGTAATCCTCACAAGTCCAAAAGGTTGGTGCCATTGTTATACCCATTTTCCAGATGAGGAAAGTGACGCACAGAGAGGCGAAGTCACTTTCCCAGGATGCCACAGCTGGTAAATGATGGAGCCAGGATATGGGGCCTGGCCTTCCAGCTTATGAGCCTGGGCTCTCAGCTCCTCTGGGTTTCTGTCTCCAGCAACGTTGGCCATGGACCAACCGGCCGGCCTGCAGGTGGACTACGTCTTCCGGGGTGTGGAGCATGCTGTGCGGGTGGTGGTTTCCGGGCAGGTGCTGGAGCTGGAGGTGGAGGACCGGATGACGGCTGACCAGTGGCGGGGCGAGTTCGATGCCGGCTGTGAGTGTGCCTGCCTGGGGTGGGCTCATCTCTCCTCTCCTGGGATCAGCTTCTCCCAGATGAGGCTACCCTGAATCCTGCCCACCTGTCTCTTCTGTCACCGGAAGCTCTCCAATGTTGGGAGGGGTGTAGGTCTCATTGCTCAAGCCAGAGACACTGCAGTCGGGGAGAGTTGGAGAGCTTAGATGCGTTGCCCTGGGGCTGGGCAAGCGGTCAGACCTCAGGAGGGACTTTTCTCCCCACCCAGTCATTGAAGATTTGACTCACAAGACAGGGAACTTCAAACAGTTCAACATCTTCTGTCACATGCTGGAGTCAGCCCTCACTCAGGTAGGGCCCGGGCTGGTGGGTGGGGGTGGGAGGGGGTTCTGTCTTCCAGATTCCTGGGGGGTCAATGCCCATCTGATGTATATAGGACCCTCTACCTTCTCTTTCATTTTAGGAACAGGGAGATCATTTTCTTCTTTTGCCAAGTGTAAATCGTTCATTTTGAATTTAATGATAGTTATGTAGAAAATTCAGGTCACAGAGAAATATAAAGACGAAAGTTATCACTCCACCCCTAATACTCGCTTCTGTTACTATTATGGTGAAAATCACTCCAGCTGTTTCTCCGTGTCTCTGTTTCTGAATACGTGTGTGTGTGTGTGTGTGTGTGTGTGTGTGTGTGTATGCATTTGCAGACCTGTAATTATATATAGTTTATATATCCTCCAAGGTATTCTGCACCTACTTTTGATTATTTGTTTTTTTGTTGTTGGAGTTTCGCTCTTGTTGTCCAGGCTGGAGTGCAGTGGCACGATCCCGGCTTACTTCAACCTCCGCCTCCTAAGTTCAAGCGATTCTCCTGCCTCAGCCTCCTGAGTAGCTGGGATTACAGGCACACACCACCACACCTGGCTAATTTTTGTATTTTTAGTAGAGACAAGGTTTCACCATGTTGGTTAGCCTGGTCTCGAACTCCTGACCTTGTGATCCGCCTCAGGCTCCAAAGTGCTGGGATTCCAGGTGTGAGCTACTGCGCTCAGCCAGAAGTTTTTGTTTGTTTGTTTGTTTTGAGATGGAGTCTCACTCTGTCTCCCAAGCTGGAGTGCAATGGTGCAATCTCGGCTCACTGCAACATCCGCCTCCTGGGTTCAGGTGATTCTCCTGCCTCAGCCTCCTGAGTAGCTGGGACTGCAGCCATGTGCCACCACACCCGTCTAATTTTTGTATTTTTAGTAGAGATGGGTTTCATCATGTTGGTGAGGCTGGTCTCGAACAACTGATGTAAGTCATCTACCCAGTTTGACCTCCCAAAGTATTGTGATTTCAGGTGTGGGCCACCATGCTCAGCCTAAAAGTAATAACTGGGGAGAGGAAAGCAGGTTAAAACTTAGAGTGACAGGGATGGGTGGTATTTAGATATCTTTTTTTTTTTTTTTTTTTTCAGACAGAGTTTTGCTCTGTTACTCAGGCTCAGTGGCCCAGTCTTAGCTCACTGCATCCTCCACCTCCTGGGTTCAAGTGATTCTCATGCCTCAGCTTCCCTAGTAGCTGGGACTATAGGTGTGCCTGCCATGCCCGGCTAATTTTTGTATTTATTTTTTTGAGACACCATCTCTGTCACCCATGCTGGATGAAGTGCAGTGGCCTGATATTGGCTCACTGCAACCTCTGCCTCCTGGGTTCAAGCGATTCTGGTTCTTCAGCCTCCCGAGTAGCTGGGATTACAGACATGTGCCGCCATGCCTGACTAATTTTGTATTTTTAGTAGAGACAGGGTTTCTCCATGTTGGTCAGGCTGGTCTCGAGCTCTCGACCTCAGGTGATCTGCCCGCCTCGGCCTCCCAAAGTGCTGGGATTACAGGCGTGAGCCACCGCGCCCGGCCACATGGATCTTTTTTTACCTGTGGATGATTTTGTAACCTCATGCATTGGTCATTTGGAAAACACTGGTTCACCAAGTTGTGCAGATTTTTTGAATGTTGACACATTTCCTTACTTGATATCCTCAAGTCAGATTTGTTAATATCCTCACCCATCTGCCCAGGAAAGTCTTTGAACACTGAGAAGCTGTCAAACACCCAGTGGAAGACAGAAGTTTTCCAAAATTCTAATTTTAAGTACAAAGCTTGAATTTGATTATTGGCAAGACACCCCATCAGCTGTTTTTCTTGGAGTGACAGGCTCACTTTGCTCATTTTTGAGAAAATGTCTGCCAGATAGCCCGAGTCTAAATAACCATAGTTTTGTCTGTCAGTCGTTTTTTCCCCAAGTAAAAATAGTGTTCCAGGAAAAGTGGCTAATTTAGCTCACAACTCAGTTGCACAAGTGCTTTTTCCCGAGACCATCGTCAGACTTTGGCGTGTACAGAAGTACTTTCTGTGCACTTGCAATTTTCTTGCACACCACAATAAAGAGCTGTGTCCTCTAGGGGCAGGATTCAATATAATTAATAACTTTTGCTGCTTCATCAAGAACATTCCGATGGTTCATTTCCTGTGTTTGATTGTTGATGTGCTTATTGTTTGTTTATTTCTGTTCCCCAGCCGCCAGCTGAGACGGGGGAGATACAGTGCCATTCGGTGCCAGGGCTTGACTTCTGCTCAGGCACCAGCAGTTTTTCCCACCATTGCTTTTGTAGCACTCACACACATGTCAACACAGTGAAAAAGACAAATGATGTCTTTGTATTATTGTGAAAGTAGCTTTGGGCCCGGTTCGGTGGCTCATGCCTATAATCCCAGCATTTTGGGAGCCTGAGGCAGGCGGATCACGAGTTCAGGAGTTCGAGACCAGCCTGGCCAACATGGTCAAACCCTGTCTCTACTAAAAATACAAAAGCTAGCTGGGTGTGGTGGTGGGCCCCTGTAGTCCCAGCTACTCAGGAGGCTGAGGCAGGAGAATCACTTGAACCTGGGAGGTAGAGGATGCAGTGAGCCAATATTGCGCCACTGCACTCCAGCCTGGGCGACAGTGAGACTCCATCTCAAAAAAATAGAAAGCTTTGACCTCAATGGAGATTCCTGAAAGGGTCTCAGGGATCCCCCAGGGATCTGCAGACAGCATGTGGAGAGTCACAGGTCTAAGCTGTTCTCTGTGATTGAGCATTTAGGTTCTTTCCGGGTTCTCCCTTCGAGGAAGTCCTTGTGTCAGCCCCTGGGACAGGGCCATGTTGATCGCCAGCTTTGCATAGGAAAGCCTAGCCCGCCGAGAACGGGAAGGGCTGCCGCCCAGATGTGTGCTGGCTGCCCTGTGTGGCGGTGGCGGGTGCTGTGCAGCTCTTCCTCTCTTCTCCCGACAGAGCAGTGAGTCAGTCACTCTGGACCTGCTGACCTACACAGACCTGGAGTCCCTGCGGAACCGCAAGATGGGGGGCCGCCCGGGCCCTCTGGCCCCCAGATCGGCGCAGCTCAACTCCAAGCGCTACCTGATCCTCATCTACTCCGTGGAGTTTGACAGGTGGGGAGGAGGAGCAGGTTCCAGGGCCAGGCTGGTGGGTGGGGTGGGACCCCCTGGCACCCAGGGCAAGGTCACATTGGTTAAGCCTTGCCTTTGGGGTCTCCCCTGTTGGGGTCTGTATCATTAGTATTGTGTCTGGCTACAAGCAGCAGAATAACCATCACCAGTGCCCTGAACACACAATGCGTCAAACTAACAACACACCACGTAACAACACTTCTAGGTAGGTGGCTGCCACTGCGCAGCAGTTCCACCAGGGACTCAAGCTCTTTGTTTTTTGTTGTTTTTCCTCCTTTGTCATCGTCAGTGTGTTTGCTTTTTTTTTTTTTTTTTTTTTTTTTTTTGAGACGAATTCTTGCTGTACCCAGGCTGGAGTGCAGTGGTGCAATTTTGGCTCACTGTAGCCTCTGCCTCCCAGGTTCAAGCGATTTTCATGCCTCAGCCTCCAGAGTAGCTGGGATTACAGGTGCCCACAACCACGTCTGGCTAATTTTTGTATTTTTAGTAGAGGCGGGGTTTCGTCATGTTGCCTGGGCTGGTCTTGAACTCCTAGCCTCAAGTGATCCTCCTGCCTCAGCCTCTTCAAGTCCTGGGATTACAGGCATGAGCCACTGTGCCTGTCTTGGCTTTTTGATTTCATCTTTATCTCTTCATGGTCACAAAATAGCTGCTGGATGCCCTAGACATTGCATCTTTATCAAGGCAGGAAGAAGAGGGACAGGGCTGAGTTTGCTAATTGCATCTGCTGGTTTTATCAGGAAGATAAAAGTGTTCCACACCTGTAATCCCAGCACTTTGGGAGGCCTGAACAACATGGTGAAAACCCGTCCGTCTCTACTAAAAATATAGAAATTAGCCTGGCGTGATGGCGGACGCCTGTAATCCCAGCTACTCAGGAGGCTGAGGCAGGAGAATCTCTTGAACCTGGGAGGCAGAGGTTGCAATGAGCTGAGATTGCACTCCAGCCTGAGTGACAGAATTTTTTTTTTTTTCCATCTCAAAAAAAAAAAAGGAGCATTCCCAGAAGACTCCCAACAGTTTTCCAGTAATATTTGGCCAGAAGTGGTCACGTGCAAGGATGTTGGGAAAATGAATAGCTGGCTTTCCAGCCTTTATAGGGGGAGGCAGCAAGGGCGTTGGGAATGGCCCTTGTGTAGCTGGGTGACTGTGTCTGCCCCATGTGTTAGTGGCCACTGGATTTCGTACTGGGAAGTTACCAATCCCCTGTGAATAGTATCTCATGGGGCAGTTAATCAAGATGCCCTCCCTTTCCCCAGCCAAGCCGGGGCGACCCAGGCCAGGCCAACCAGGATCCCCCACTGTGGCGTCTGAATTAGGATTGTATTTGCTTGCAGGTAACATGATACCAGCATTCCCCTCATCACCAGTATGCGACAGGGAAGTTACCCCAGGCTACACCAGGCCTGACAATCCCAGTGGTCCCCAAATTGCTACATAAGAGGCTTTCAGAGGTGGCGACTGGAACAAGGGGTCTGGGGACAGGGAGGGGTCTTGAGGCTATGCTCAGAACTTAAGCCTCTAGGATAGTACCATTTCTGGAGTTGTGTGTTTTCGTATGCTGTGACTCTCAGAGTCTGGTATTTACCCTCGGGTGCATTCTTGGCCTCTGAGATGTCACGGTTCTAATCCTACCTCCTCAGGATTCACTACCCGCTGCCCCTCCCGTACCAGGGCAAGCCAGACCCCGTGGTTCTGCAGGGCATCATCCGCTCACTGAAGGAGGAACTGGGCCGCCTGCAAGGGCTGGGCGGCCAGGACACTCGGGACACCCGGGAGACTGAGATCTGGCACCTTCGGGAGCAGTGAGTCTTGGATGGGCGGGCAGCTGGGGCGGGCAGCTGGGGCGGGTGTGTGCCCTCTCATCATGCACCGCGGGGCCCATGCTCAGCCCTGTCTCCCTCACCCAGCATGTATTTATTCTGTTCTTTCGAGGCAGAGTCTCACTCTGTTGCTCAGGCTGGAGTGCAGTGATACAATCTCCGCTCACTGCAGCTTCCTCCTCCCAGGTTCAAGTGATTCTCCTGCCTCAGCCTCCCACATAGCTGGGACTACAGGTGCTCACCGCCAAGCCCGGCTAATTTTGTGTTTTGGTAGAGATGGGGTTTCACCATGTTGGTCAGGCTGGTCTCAAGCTCTTGACCTCAAGTGATCTGCCCACCTTGGCCTCCCAAAGTGCTGGGATTCCAGGAGTGAGCTTCCACGCCTGGCCTCTGAGCCTCTCTTCTGCACCTGCTTTGTGCCAGGTGGTGCTGGGGACATAGTAGTGACCAAGACTATCCTGGTACTGCCCTCCTGGGACTCTCAGTCCAGTGAGGGAGGCAGATGTGTTTGCAGACAGTGAAAGGCTCAGAGTGGGTGGGGGACCTGACCCTGCCTGGTAAGGGAGGGAGGGGTGTTCTTGGCAAAGGGAGCCGCATGTGCAGAGGTATGGGGGAGGTCGAGCTGTATGCAGGTGAATCCACCTTCACGGGGTGCCTCTTTTGTGCTAGCCCCTCCCTGCCACTCAGGTAGTACCCGGCCCTGGGGGAGATGGATGTTAATTACATAACCACCTGAGTATATCATTGCAGACGGAGGTGGGTGAGGCAGAAAGGGAGCCTGTGCTGTGGGAGGCTGTCACAGTACCCCACTGGGGTGTGGGGTGGGTCAGGCAGAGGGTCTGGGGAAGAGCGTTGTAGGCAGAGGGAACAGCATGGGCAGAGTCCTTGTGTTCGGTGGGAATGTGGTGAGAACAAGAGAATGAATGAAGTGAATGAAGCAACGGCTTTTGATGTATTCATGCCTGCCACATGCTTGGTTCTGTTGGGGAGATGAATCTGGGGCTTGATCTCTACTGGGAAGAGGTCTGGCTCATTGGGGAGGGCTAATAATATTTTTAGTAATAATAATACCTGTAACTAATCATTAGCAATAATAATACTGGTTCAATAATACAGTCACTGAACATTTAACTCTATGCCAGGGCTGCTCTGTGCTTTGTGACTGGATTCATTTTACCCTCACAGCCACCCTACAAGGGAGGCACTGCTGCTATCTCCGTTTTACAGAGGCCCAGAGAAGTTAGGGAACGTGCCTCAGGTCACACAGTGGGTGACATGGCCAAGCTGGAACTTAGATCCAGGCAGCACCATTGCACCTCTGTTGATTCCCCAGCTGTTTGCACTGCTGGTGGCTGCAAGCCCAGGACAGAGTGATGAATGCTGATGGGAGGACCAGTCCTTATGGGAGCTCATGGGGCTGGGGAACCCCCTTGGAGCTCTCCTGTGTACTGCTGGGCCGAGGAGGGCAGCAGTGGGGAGGCCAGAATGCACAGTAGCATAGGCTTCATCCTCAGTTTATCCTCAGGATCTGCTCTGGTGGGGGCCCAGTCGGGGGTCGGAGGGAAGAGTGTGTGTGTGTGTGTGTGTGTGTGTGTTTCTAGGTTTGTGTTTATGGGTGTGTGTTTCCCAAGATGGCCACAAGGTGGAGCCCTCCACCCTTAGGAACCAACAACAGGAGCCTTGCGATTTTGTGTGTGTGTGTGTGTGTGTGTGTGTGTATGTGTGTGTGTTTTTCTAGGTTTGAGTTTATGGGTGTGTGCGATCAGAGAGAGAATGTGCGTCTTTCTAGGTATTTATGGGTGTGTGTTTCCCAAGGTGGCCACAAGGTGGCGTCCTCCACCCTTAGGAACCAA